ATCATAAGTTACTTACAAATCAATACTTTAGGTCGTCGCTTGTCGAAAAAATTATACTACGCGCCCATTCATTGAACAAGCGGTTTTCAGTAATTGTTGTTGATTCTCGACCGCTTCTCGAGGGCAAAGCACTCCTTCACAGTCTCACTTCCACGGTTCCTCCAATACCATGTACCTACGCCCTTCTTCCTGCCCTTCCCTCTCTCATAACCGATGCCGATATTGTTTTACTCGGTGCACACTCACTTCACGCTAATGGATCAGTGTACTCAAGGGCAGGAACTGCTATGGTAGCCATGCTAGCCAAAGAACATACTGTCCCGGTCATGTTATGTTGCGAAACGTACAAGTTCAGCGAGACTGTAATGCTCGACGGTTTTGGGAAGAATGAGTTAGGTTTGTTATCGATCAACTACTCAAGCTAACTCGTTCACTAATTGATGCTCGACTTCTAGCGCCCACGAAATTTTCACCAGCATCGCCAAAATCTAATTCTAATCTTGAAGTTCTGAACCCTTTGTACGATTCTACGCCTGCGTCTTGTATCACTGCAGTTGTGACGGAAGTTGGATTAATACCACCTACAAGCATCAGCTCTATACCTCTGGCATTAGGAAGAACAACACTATGATGAGTACATTATAAATTGTATATTATATAATTGTTGAGAGCACCCAGCGAGTATCACTATCAGTGATTCGGCTTGTGCAGTGTGATATCGCATGAATTCCAACAATCATAAGTCGTCCTTGTTTTGGGCCACTCGCTTCTTAATCCATTCGAAGGCTTTTTCCGTGACCTGTTCAACTGGATGATCAAAGAGATAAGGGAGACCTGGTACAAGGGACAACCCAGTTGCTGTGGGCCCCCACAATTTCAGACGCGGATTCTTCACATTCTTGAAGGCCTTCTTTGCCTGATTTACAGCAGTATGAATTGTAAGAGCCGGTAGAGCCCTATACATACGTGCGCAATGAGGGAAAGAAGGATAACACAACATTACATCTGAACGCACATGGACGCTATCGATTGGAAAGTCGCTCTTTGAACGGCGGTAAAAGCTAACCTCGTGGGTTCCGAGAAGTTGGCAGCCTCTAACGCTGTAGGTTCTTTGCGATGAGCCTTGTACGTCTCGTACCCAACATCACCAGTTAGATACAGCCAGGAGATGCCATAGGCAGCGGTCACTATCCATGGGGGCACGACGGGGCGAAATGCTTCCCCTATATCGCTGGTCTTGGAGGAGCAAATTTTAAGAACCTTTCAATAAGAGATAGAATAGATATAACTCACATAGGCAATGTAGCGAGTAGATGCACGAAGGGCTGTTCTTAATCTGGCACCATAGGCCATGTAACGTAATTCTGTGTCTGTACTGTCCACATTTTTGTCGACGAGATGGTCGACTTCGGTTTGAATAGCTTCAGTTGCTGCTTCTGCGGATTTCGACATTTCAATTATTTGGAAACGTGCGCTGTAAAGTCGAAGTTAGAACATGGAAGACGGGTATTATCGACGGCCCGGCTGGCCGGTAAGCGTTTAAACCCTCCACGTGCTCAAGTACTCTAGTCACTTTCGACGACAACATTGTGAACGACGTTCTCAACGCCCCTACAACAGCGCACCCGACTTAATGGAGTCTAGGACACGCTCTGATTTGCCCAGCCATGCAGATGGAAAGCTTAAACGAGAACAAGAGGAAACTATTTCGCTGCCAAACAAAATCTCGGCCTACTACTCCCTCGTCTTCCCCCATTCTACATTTTACATCCAAACGCTGTCTGTAACTATTGGTCGGAGATGCTATCCGAATCCTAATGCCCCTACTTCCTCTTCTTCGCCGACCTTGAAGCCTGTGCAGGTTGACGTTGACCTTGGGGCTTTGAAGAGTGTATCTCGGCTTCATGCCAAGATAGAATACGACCCGGAGGAAGACCGCTTCATTTTAGTTGTAATTGGACGGAACGGAGCCTGGGTTGATGGTGTTTGGCAGGGAAGTGGAACTAGAGCACCGTTAGGCGAGCGGTATGTTCTTCTAGAAATTATATATCCTCGTGTCAGCCGGCTGATAATTTCTAGTTCCCAAATACAGATTGCCTCGCGGATCTTTCATTTTGTATTACCACCTCCGCCTCCACCTGATGACACTCCTTCTCCAAGCTCGAATTCATCGACAAACAGACCACGGTCGCCGTCGCTCGACGTCACTTCCATATCTCCGCCTTCTTCACAACCTTCACATTCACCTCCGCCTAGAGAGATCAAGCCTCCAATTCCACCTTCAGAACCTCAGCTCGGCAACTCCAATCTTATCGCGAGATCGACAAAGGCCAACACGAAGAAGAGAAAGAAGAGTGATATATCTGATATCTCTGTTCCTCCGCCGCCACCTCCGAAGCCGGAGGTAATACCTCCCAAACCAACTCTTACCTATGCTCAACTTATATATCGTGCTATCAAGGCGCATGATGGTAAAGCGACACTACAAGAGATATGTGCATGGATAGCAAAAGAGTATGACTATTATCGGTTTACTGACGGAACAGCCTGGATGGTAAGCTTGAGCTCTTTAAGAATGGATCAACCCCTGATCTTCCATCGATAGAGCTCCGTACGCCACAATTTATCATCTGGTCGAGCATTCAAGAAAATGGAACGGTGTGGAGGCGACAGGGGAAAAGGTTTCTTCTGGTCGCTCGATGAAGCACATCAACATACACTCGAGGAACAAGACTCCAAACTCCAGTCTGGGTCCGTAGATAACACGTCGAAATTGCGCAAGAAGGACAAGACATTAGAACCTCCTCTGAAGCGAAGCGTAAAGGGTGATGCGAAAGAAGTAGTCCCTCCTCCCCTGATCTCTACACCTTTTTCGATGCAGACTTCGTCTGATTCCTCAGTAATGAACACTTCGGCCGCGTCGCTTTCTGCGTTACCCACGACCACCGCCCAGATAACATCTGCTATGCCAGCGTATACCCAAGCCCAACGTTCTTGGATGGCTTCGAACCCTGTCACGTCATACACTGGTGCCGCAACCAATCCTTATTCAGCTTTAACACAACCTTTGACTATACATGAAAAACCTAATACTAATGTTCACACATCTAATGCTTCGCATTCAACGGCACCTTCGGTCCCAGCGATAATGACTTTCAATATACCCACCGCACCCATAACTGCCGTGCCAGTAACATCCACATCCACATTAGTAACTGTGCCGGCATCTTCGTCTATCCCGTCATCAGTAACTGTTTCATCCTCATCTGCCTCGACCTCTACGAATGCGCCTATTAAAACATCTACGCCGTCGGTTCCCGATATCGCTATTCCCATCACCTTGGGACCCGTTCCACCTACTCACCCCAGTTACTCTGCCACGCATCCCAATAATTCTGCTAAAGAAGGTTACATGATTCTGCATGAACGGAAACTTGTCCTCGACCCGGACGTCTTCTCCAGTCTAACGAAGGAAATGCTTGTTGAACTGGAGAAGATGGGCGCTAGTAAAGCTATCGAAATTTTGACTGGCCATCTAGTGAGAGTGCTGAAGGAGCGGAGGAAGAACAGGAAGAATGCAAGAGGAAGAGGCAGGGGAGTGAAAGGTGCTGGTGGACCCAGTCAAAAAGTCGCCACAGCCGGTTCTACCGGAGATCCCACTTCCTCCGTGCCCGCAATTTTATCTTCATTGTCAATTCTTTCGTCAAACAAACAGACTTCTTCCGGGTCTGTTCCTACTGTTCCGATGGTCGTGGAAACGTCTTCACTCGCTGCCAATCCCAATCCTTTGATTCCCGTACCTATCATCCAAACACCACTGGGTGATACCGGTTCTCCTATCGTGATTATAGACTCTGACGACGATGGACCTGCTATAAAGAAGAGAAAGGTTGGAGCACCGTCCTCCCCTTTTGTAGAGCCTGTGGTCCCGAAATACGTCACATCTGCGACTCGGACTTCTATCCCTTCACCAGCCGCGATCCAACCTCAAGCTTAGGCTTCTCGTTGCTCTACGTTTGTACACAACTAGAAGAACGACGTATAATCTTGTTTAGTTATTCGACTAATTCCGCACCTTATCAGTTAGTATGCACACCTATCTAACGTTCTTCCTTCACGGCTTCGTCACGACAACTTTCAACTTATGGGTCACATTGCTGTTAAATAGGTTTTTGAGATGCCCGCACGTACTACGTAGCTTACAATGTATACTTTGTTCTCATCCACTCCGGAAAATTGCTGTAGATAGACGCAATTGTACTACATATCAGTTCATTGCATTTTCTGTGATGTTTATGTGTATCAATAGGTCTTCATAGGGTAGAATAATTTTTGCTGGTTATGCAGAAGTAAGTTAAATCCTTGCGCTCCTTCCCTATGAGGGCTATAGTGCTGGGGAAGGGTGTAAATATGAAATCAGAATTTGTTCATTATTCGAATTTGATTTTAGGTTCTGGCGATAAACCAGGCTTGAATGAAATGGTTATCATATTCATTCATGTTTCAAAGGATTAAGGCTATATATGATTGTGATGAACCAGACTGTGAGTAAGTGTAAGTATGTATATACAACAAGTGTTGGCAGAGAAGTCAAAGACTTTCACTGGATGCAAAAGTACATAAATTTTATCCCTTCTGGTAAACTTACAGAAGATTTACTCAAAACTTATGTATAAATCACTGTAAGTTTTTAGATATTATCACCAAAAGTTATCCATAAGTTGTATAATTTATTGACTTTTGCACCCAGTGTTTAGTGCTGAATTTGCAATAAAAATGATGCAAAACCAAGAACTTCATTTGAGATTCTCAAATGTGATACTTGATGCACTGGTAGTAGATGCAGATAGCACCAAATCAGCTAAACATTAGGTGCACTAGCACCAATGTCCTACGATAGTTGCGCTGCAAAGTGACCTGGGTGCCAAAAGGCCCCCAACGGCTATAGAACATAGGAGAGGTGTTTGTTTATGGATAAGCATTACTTATAGGATGTATCGGCCCGCCTAGCTCAATCGGATAGAGCGTCAGACTCTTACGGCGGTGTCATCTGAAGGCTGCGAGTTCGACCCTCGCGGTGGGCTATATTTTTCCTTCAAATATTCAGTGGGATATTTTTTCCTCGTTGATCTAAGCGTATCGATCATTTATCTATAGTAAGTTGTAGAATGTCAAGATGGTATAAATGTATTCTGTATAAGACTCTCCCATCCACAAACATACTTCATTTAGCATTGCCTGCTTGAATTGAAGAGACCAGTGTACGGTCTAAGTTTTTACATAGCTTACATCCGCAGTCCAGCGTTCAAACTCTCCAGAGCTTGAGACATTGCAAAGTTGCATGCCTAATAAGCGCAGATGTCCAAAGGTTACGCAGTCAGGTCCCAAGCGCACTGCTCCGTGTTCAGCCGAATTGAACGCTGCATGGTACTCCTAAACAACGGTTTTAATCGCCGATGAAAGAACAGAGAGTTAGATATATGCTGACATGTATGAAAGTGCGGTAAATGTCCGTAATATCATGAGCCACTTCTATGAGCGTTCGAGGATTGCCAGTGGGAGTAAAGAAGAACAATTGTTTGCTAAACTGAAGAAAATTGTAACCAGGCCACTGAAAGAATTTCAGGACCAGGTAATAATGTTGAGGGGACTAAACACATACATTTAAAATGAGCTGGACAAATGGCTGTCTTGGCCTCCAATCCCTCGGGAGAAAACTGGTGATTGGGCTCGAGGAATGAGCTAAATCTTGACAATTCTCAAGCTCCGTCATAGCGACACCAACTTGCACCTGCTCAGCCGAGCCAAACGGTACAACAGGATTAATTCCGTAGTTGTAGCGAGGAATGAGGGCATGAGACTGGCCAGCATGCCACCAGTCCGACTTAACCAAAGAAGACGTGTAGTCGATAGCGTTTCGTCGACCCAACCTCGACTGAAGATGTGGAGGTCTGGTATTATTAGTCAAGGCAGAGATGTCTACTGCGTTGCGACGCGGCCTTGACATAGATTCGGGTGTTGGACCGTATGAGCGCAGATACGATTGCATTCTACGAATTCGATAGGGAGAAACGGGACGTGCAGTGCAGTGCGTCGTGCCTCAGTTGAAAGTGTAGGCCTTTTATACGAAATCCAATAGATGGCCATGGCGATTAAACAGTGCAACATGAATGAACAATGGCTTTGACCACTAAAGTAGAACCAAAAAAGGTCGACGAAATGAAAGCAGGGATCGCGATTTTCTCACGCCTTTGACTTCCGTCTTTGACCAAGGCCTCGGAGAGGTTCTATATTATTGATCTCAATGGACACGGAACTCAAATGCAATCGCCTCACTTGTAGAAAAGCTTTGACGGACAAAGCAGTCGTCGTGCGTTTCTCTTGTCACCTTTTTCGTATTGAACGTTCATTTAAAGTGCCCAAAAGACAACTTGTGAGTTGCTCCAGTCGACTGTCATACAGGGTATATTGACAGGATTTTGAAAAGGCTCACATATTTTCTGTGGTGTGTTATTACGCTCCATCTATAAATATGGAATCTCACACATTCGATCAGTCGATTGTGCAAATGAGCTCTTCAATGCGGCGCGTCTCTGCCCGGGTACTTAGTCGTTTTGTGTAAAATCACTCGTCAAAAAACTCATCGTTGAAGAATCCTGTCAGCTTGTGAATCTTCTTTATCCGAACCGTATGTCCTGTCCTTCAGCTCCATCGAGGTCTGTCGTTTAAATCGAACCATCCAATTGCAGGGACGACGTCGTTGTAAATTCAAGATTCACTGGACAATTACTACGGTGACATTAATGTTACCCATGTTAGGTCTGCTCTCTGCATCCTTCAAACGACTATAAAACTGTATGTACATACGCATATACCCACCTTCTCGGCTTTTCACCTGGTACAGTCCGTTCTTTCAGGCTTGACTCCTTCAATCATACTGGAAATATGCAGTCGGTATGCGCTGGTTCTTGGTCCACCCTTTTGCAACCCAATGTCGTCTACCGTAGTGCGATTGCCTTCTGGCAATATCAAATCCATCAAGAGAAGTGAGTCATCTTTCTCGAAGAGATATCACTTCAACTATCTCCGTTTCCATGTTCAGCTCGTTCCAGCAAGCCGTTCTTCGGAATCTCAATGACAAGAATTCACAGCTTCAAAAACAGCTGGATAATGTTATCCGAGAAGGTGCAGTAACAGATCTCTCTTAAGATCCTCCTTTAATTCTTTCTGTTACGACACCAGCCAATGGGGAAATAACTCTGCTCAATAATAAGACCACAGGTGCATTATAGTCCTCTTCTGTTCATAAAGCTCAACTTGAACTTCGAAAGACCTTGAACGAGACCTCGAGGTGGAACGCAGGAAGGTCCGTGACTTGCAAGAAGCGACCCGAGAACGAGAGAAAGAATACCAGAAACTTAAGGTATACATAGTGTTTTTAGTGCTTATGCGGGATTCTCATTTGAAATTGCAGGCTCAGCATGACAGAATCAAACGCAAGGCTCTTCTCGGGCCTAACCTGACTGTGAACGACCATGGACCCACCAATCAAATTTCAGAGGACCAACGGGTGGGAATGCGAAGTTTCGGGACAAACGTTGGAAATAATGTTGACTTCGGTGCTGTCGTAGGTGGGATGGAAGTAAACGGGGTAGGTGTCAACATATTCTTAAATACTTTTTGTCTGAAAGTAAAGGTTAGATACAACGTACTCCCGTCGTCAATCGTGCCGGCACTTTCCCAAATCGCATAGGAACGACCGATGGATGGGGCCAAAATGCTTCTAGTGCGCTCAACCAGCCTCAACGTACTAACCGAGTTGGCGGAACTCATCGTCAACCTCTCGGGTATGCTGGTGGATACGTCTCTGATCGTTCAGACAGTGCTACCGAGGTCGAGAACTTCCTTATAGGCGGTGGTGGAGGACAACGTCCGGTGAGGGTGTCAACCGCAACTGGAGGATGGAATTCCGGTCCCCAAGCCAATGATCAACGAATACGACCGTTGCAGAGAGGTATGCGCAAAGCAATTCGCAGAGCGAGACAATTTCGTGACCAACTTTGTAGCTTTTGCACCTCCCAGCAGTTCAACCAAGCGGGGTTCTGGGACTTTCAGGCCCGCTATTACCAGGTGACAAGATAGCCTCTTTCGGATGGTAAACCTTCACTTATATGTATCTTGGTGCATACAATTCGTAGTTGTGGTATGTAGGAATGAGAGATCATTGTATCGACTTATAATAATAGATGAGCATAGAAGATCACTGCGATGATAAATAAGTATACAAAGTATGATATTTGGGTAGATGACATGCGAACGGTTGAAAGAGGAATACCTATTTTCACCAATATGAAGACAAGGGAGTATTTGCTGCAGTGACAGTAATCTAACCAAAACGCGTGCGGTAGCAGGATAAAAGGAACGTCATGTAAAATTAAACAAGAGAAAGAGAACATAAAGATATGAGGATAGATGATCAATGAGTGAAAAGAGAAAGATGTGATTGCAATTTCAATGGACGTTGTTAAACTTTACCGAGATCCAAAAGGATGAATGATTTTCGTTCTTGACTTTGATCTTAAGAAATTTCCCTGCTGTAACCCAACCATTGATCAGTCCCTTCTGAGGCGCCCATTCTTTTCGTCTTCCAAATATTGTCCGATTGCCAGAATATCTTGTCCAGATCTCCTCAGGTATCCTGCCAATACAATCCGATCTGCATGCGGCATCAAGTCCGAAAGTTTGTCAACTTGGCGTCGGAAATCTAGATCCCACGAAGACTCTGGCGGAGTGGATCCATGAACAGCTTTCGAAGTTTGTTTTGACGGTGAAGACGATTGAGACCGCGGTCCACCTCTAACAGTGGGATTGCTTAAATGTCCGCTATACGGGGTCGAATGGTGCACACTATCGGCTGAAGGGATATTGTAAAGCGATGGTCTCCTGTCCATTGGGTTCGCCCTGCCAGCTGAGCTCGAACTAGAGCTGTCCGAAGGCATAGGTGATATCATAATCGTTTGAGATCTGAGCATCCTGTTAGGTGGTGCTCTGGGGCCTCCGGGAATAGAGGGTGGACCTGATGGTACCATGACAGGAGGATGACTATTCTGTGAGCTGTGTTTGTGCTGTTGCTTAGTTAATCGCGCGGAAGACGATACCCCTGTCGAGCTTCCAATACCCTTATCCTTCCTATTGACGCTCGCTTTGCGACCCAAGGACGCGAAAAATGCCCCGGTCTTGCTCGTCGGAGTCAAGGGCATCAAGGATTTATATCCTTTTGCAGGAGAATCACTTCCACTGATACTACCCACAGACGAGTTCGATCGACCAGGGAATTTCTGACTTGTTGATGCTAGAGATGGATATGGTAGAGGGGGTGGACCTGTTGGAGGACTCATAGACAATGCGTCTTTAAAGGTCATAGATAGATCTGTCGCAGCAGATGCATCTGGTCGTCGTGGAAAAGTGGCTTCGGTTATTACGGACGTATGCGAGGAACGGGAAGTCTGTCGAGGTTGGGAGGTAAATGGAATGGTGGATGGTGACATGGCCGGGAAGTTGTTTGAGACGGATGATGTAGGAGTTGCCTCGGTGAGTGATATTGCGGCTCCGCGATTGGCAGATCCAGAACCTTGGAAAAGAGTGTCGTATCAATACAGCAACAAAAAATTTCGCAAACCAGAAAACAAACCTCCAGCACGCATATTCTCCATCCACTCTGCCAGTCCACAATCATACATGGATAGCTCGTTGATCTTTTGAGCATAGAGCGTACATCGTTCGCCTGCATTCCGTCTTGCGGAAACCTCGGAACAGAACATGGCGGCCGGATTTGGATCGATTTTACGCTTGCGCCTGATTGGTTGCAGGGGCTTAATATACGGACGAGTGACTTGCTGGTAGGACTGAACGTCTCTCATAGGGACAGATGGTTGGAAATTGAGAAGTTGAGCTTGAGGAATGTCGGGTAGAGGGTGATTGGATACTTCATCTTCATGAGAGCTTCGCTCCCGATCATGAGATGTTCGGCTCAAACTCTTTGCTGAAGGGCTCCGCGGTAGGCTCATCTTCTTCAGACCAGTTG